GAATGCTGACTATCAAAAAGCATATTGACCATGGTTTATATTGATATTGAGGGAAATTAATTTTTGAGAAATATATCACTATTGTCCCACACCAAGCCTTACATGTAACTCAGAAATCTTGGTCCTCAAACTTCTCCCTTATGCTTAAATCTGAGTTGTCACCTAACCAATAATGGCTGTTTCATCCATGGAGAAAACAACAGAGAGAAGGTCAAAGAAAGAGACAGGAGAGAGCCTGTGACTGCTGAATGGGGTAAATCTGAATAAAAGGAATGAAAAACATGACAGGAAGACTCTGTTGAGCATTGAAAGGCAATGATCATGCTAACAAAGAGAAACAGAGAGGACAAGTCTTCATATCCTTCAGATGGGTCACAACGGTGAACAGCAGATCTCTATCACACTGCATATATTAGAAAGTGCAAGTCAGCCTGTTATCACAGGACGCCCCCCAGTCTGACCTTGTGAAGATACCAACTACTTCCGCTTCCCGTTGAAATCTGAAGGTGAAAACAAGACTGGTGGATTCAGGATGAAATATCTTAAGATTCATTAAAATTCTTTAGGGTTCATATTTCCTGTAACACTGACAAAATCTACCAATGATACATACATGCAGCAAACAGTTTAAACCTTTCCCTGCAGTTGGTGAGTTTGCAACAGAGGCGCAAAAAATATGCAAGATCACGACACCTTGACTTTGATAATAACTTTTACCATCTTTTCATATACATATACACATATATACATATATATATATATATATATATATATATATATATATATATATATACATAAAGGGAGACAGAGAGAGAGAGAGAGAGAGAGAGAGAGAGAGATATTGAAAGATGCTTTATTGACTTGTCTTGCCTCCACTTATATACGATGCTCTATCATGTATCTTGTATTTCAGGAATTTTGGATCAAACAGGGTTTCCCTCAGTAGATATTTATATCTATCTGACTTTAATGTATCTCAAAAGTCACCATTAAAAAGTGATTTCTGTACAGAACTAAATTGGGAAAATCTTTGATTATAAAAATGCGATGAGATGAAGATAAAAATACACTCAGAAAAAATAAAGATAACACTGCTAAAGTGCAGAGCAGTTTGATTTTAAACTGAAAACCTTTCTCGAGCTTCAGAAGTTTTGGGAGCTTTACTTTCATCCATGAAACCAAAGTTTCTTACTTTTGCTATAACCAGGGATGCATAAGGTTTGATTTGATATGTCATTGTTTTCAAACTCATTATGAGTGTTCTTCTGATATTTACACTTGTTTTTCAATATATAGAAGTGGGGTTTCTCTGTAATAGAATTTACCTGCAGCTCTTCTTGAGACAGTTCATTTATTTTACAGCCAAACATTTATTTGAGTTTACAGTATTTGTAGTCTTTTCTAATACAGACATTTTGTCTGCTGTCTGTTTCCAACACTTCCAAATACTTCAAAACACCATACAGCCAACATCATTTCATGTTATGTAATTGTGTTAGATATGCAATCATGACTGTACTGAGTCATCACTTTCAGGTCAGAGCTGGTCTGGATTAAAAGTGATAACTGATAACTTGCTGATAACATCCTGTTTTTTAAACTCTTGTTCACAGATATTTGTGTTATAATTGAAAAGTAAAAAGACTTCTCTGAGAACAAAAACATGAAAAGTTGACCTCAAAAGACTAACCAAGTGCTTGTGCTTCATTTTATCTCATATCTCTGTTGGACAATCATCATATCTCACTCACTCCCATTACCACAACAGTAGGGACCCTTAGTTAAATGGTGGTACAACAACGTTTGATGATCTGAAACCATCAAAAGCCTATGTTTAATAAAAAATTGTGTAACAATAATATATCCAAAAAAATTATGACAATATGTCCATAAGGTCCATATGTTATTTAGGAGATTCAGAGAATCTCTTCACAAGAGTAAAAAAGACCTAAAACCATCACCGACTGGCATTGGCCCCAAGTCAACTTTGCATTGAAAACAGACATAACTCTGTAGTGGAAATCACCACATAGACTTAAAATCACCTCTTAACCATTGTTTACAGTTTGTTGCTGTATAGTTGTTATGTATAGTTTAAATGACTTTCAACCACCAATTTCTTCTTTCATTCATACTCCTCAAGTTATCCTTGCTTTTTTAAACAGTGGTTAAATATTATATGCTCCACAGATTTGACATAATGAAAATCAGGAGGAAAAGAAGAATTTGGCCTTGAAAGTCAGCAAATCAACTTTCAAACATCATCATAAAAACACTGACAGACCCATGGAGCTGATCTCAAAGCCCACGCTGGCCCTTAGTCTTATCAAGACTCTCCCCCATTAATCTCTCTTCTATCTGTAAGTGTAGGAGATAAATGTAGCAGATGTGCCGTATATATAAAATGCTTGCTTGTGCAGGTCATAATTCAGAATTATATCGTTGGAAGGCAGCCTGTGACCGGTTTGCATTCCAAGGAAAATGGAGAGCCAGCACACAATAAATTACTCCTCCTCTGAATAAACCGCTGTAACATGGATCAAATTGCTTTTTCACTGCAAAACGTACAAAGGAACAACAGCCACTACAACCAGAGCTCAACATCCCTCATCTCATTTAAGGCTCCATTGGAAAACTCTTGAGAAAACAAATCCAGAGCAGTACACACACAACAACAACAACAACCATAACAGGCTCTCAGTCACACAGATAGTCATCTCTGGCTGCAGTGCCACATTTAAGGCTACATCTGTTCAACTCCAGCACACAAAACAGCCAAATATGCAGGCAAGGGCCAAAACACTCAGCCCAGTCAGGGAAACACACAATAATCAGCAGATCTTTGCACAGCCAGAAGAGATTTCACAGTGAAAGCTTAAAACTTAATCACAGTCAAAGAAGAAAGTTAGAGGGCACTTACCTCCAGAGCCTCCAGGGTCACAAACCCAGTGATGGAGAATCCATCAATGATATCCTCCTCAGCAGAAGTGGACTCCTTTCGCTTCCGCCGTGGAGGTCGAGGGCGGGATGAGGAGGGCTCTCTGTCGACCTCCCGCTCCGAGTCTGAGGAGAAGCGAAACACAGAGCCCTTAACGTGGTTGTTTCTTATCCCATTTGATCTCCTCTCTCGGTCCCTCGCTGACCTCGACTTCCTCTTCTTGCGGAGACCGCTGGATCGAGGACCATCCATGTCCTTCATGGACAGCATCCAAATAAACCCTCCTCTTACAAAGAATCAGACTCTTCAAGGGCCAAACAGCGGCTGCTCTCGACCTCCACTTGTAGGGAAAAAAAGAAACCCCAAGGAGAATCTCCACAATATCCAAGTGTGAGTTAGCAAAGTATAAGATCCAAAGGAACCCTGTAAAATCCAACAGATGAAGCCTTTCTGCAGCAGTCACTGAACCAAGCTAACTTCCATACAAAGATCCCCAAGGGCAGTCCATCAAATCCTACGAGCGAGGTGTAAAATGAACTATTAAACACCTTATCACCAAGCTGTCGATTCCGCCAGAGGACCAGCTTTTCAGGTTAAAGCAAATATCTGCTCAGAGAACATGTCCCGCCATGGTGAGTTGAGCCGGTGACACCACATCTTTCTTCTCCTGGGAAGCTGCTCCTCTTACCCAAGGTCAGCAAACTCTCCCTCCTGCAAGATAAAGACAGAGAGAGAAAGAGAGAGAGAGCAACGCATTTGCAACATGTTCACTCAGCAAGTTCAACTGTGCATCAGGTCAATGAGCCATTTTCCAAAAGGTGCTGCAGACTATACAGACGCTTGTTTCCATTCTACATCATGCAGACTGAATGTTTTATTAGCAGCACACTGTGTTTTCTCACACTGTCAGGTCATTACACCCTGAGATGAGATGATTATGTGTTGTAAGTGTCTCTGAAGCTTCTGCCAAGCTTGTAACCTAAACTGTCTTTTTAATGTTTGAATGCCTTTAATTAATGATGCGGCAGATTTTGGACTCTTCCACCCTTAGTTTTACGCCTCTCTGAATGAACTTGTTTTTTAGGCACTCACTACTGAATTAAGTTACATGCAGGGCGTGAATATCTGCACAAATACAGGAAGTGAAGGCATCCAAGAGGCATACACTTTGTCACTTCTCCTACTGCAAGTTAAACAGATTGCGTTTGAGCTTTAAATAAAGCCTTAATCAAATCAAACACTTTAAGGTCAATTGGCTCAAGGATCTGTCCTTCCTTCCTCATCCCACTTGTCATCTAATTGCATTAATCTATAAGGCAAACTTGTTTTAAGTTATAGCACAAATCAGCACAGATATTGCAGCAATTACCCATGTAGTGACATTTTTTTCTAACAAAAGAGTTTGGCTCTAAAAGCGTCTGTGCTGCTGGTTGAAAGCCAGACAGCTTTAGAAAGGGAAGTAATTGAAGTCCCTTCTTGAATGAAAGAAATCAGTCTAAGACGAAAAATGAACACACCACAACTCATCTCCATTCATCATTCACTTCTTCGAAAACAAAATCACCTTGGTGGTAACACTTAAACATCTCCCTTACAAGAAATAGTAATATTTCTCTCTTTTCTGATTAAAAACAGCCCTCATTGAACAGGTCCATGCCCTTGAGGTTTTACACACTCTGTTTAGAAATCCAGACAAATGTCAGACCCCTTGAAATACCATTCTGCACTGAACTATAAAGCTTAGGTGAGCATACCTCCACTGTCTGACACTGAAGGCATCTGGCTGCTTTATGATATCAGGATGCAACATTCAACAGCTTGCAGGCTTATTCTGAATCCCTCTCAAGGCATAGCCTCCAGTCCAGGCCTAAAGCCACTGAAAGTCATTGTAGTCTGAAACACATATGGCTTCTCTATGTGTCCAGAATATCAATTCTCATCCATGACATCATGGAGAAGGCACTCTATGTGGAGGAAAAACTGAATCAACAAACTGCAGGCTCTCTCTGAATAATCATGCCTCCAAAATGCTGGGGGAATATCTGAGACCCAGAGGAATCACACCTTTTTCTGCATCAGCACACAAACCAAAATCAATCTGTCACAGTCAACCACCATCTTCAACTTTACATTGTCTCCTTGGACACAGGTTGTCATGTAATGTAGCTCATCTGGATTCTGCAGCATGCATGTAGTCTCCCCAAAATTCTCTGCTGCACCCTGCAAAGTCACACAGGTTTGAAACATGCATTTGCAAGAAAAACGGCTTAAATAGATAAAAGGCACATCCAACAAGCCTGCATGCCAATTTTTAACTATGCAGCAATCTTGCAAAAAATATTCCCTCCATGCAGATGCTTCTAACAACCCCCCAAAAAGGTAATTCCAGCTTTACTGTGTTAACAGTCCTAGACCTTTTTGTACCTATAAACCTGATGCCCCGTGCCAGCACTTATCTAATGGCACACTCTCTGCACATTAGCTCCAAAAATACCGCTTATTGGTAGAAAAACTGTATTCTAGCACTCGCCCTGGCTTTTCCAGCTCAGTAAGAGACTCTTTCCCTTGTCTGCGCTGCTCACAGTCCCTTTTTGTCTGCTGCCTGTGCTGTCAGCAGAGATCTCAGGCTCTGTAATCCAGTCCAGCCCACAACAGCAGCAGCAGCGGACTGGCACTGCCTCCTGCTCCGGCTCTCCAAGCTTCATTTTCCACTGTAAAGACACACAACAAAAGCAAAGCCTCTCTCTCTCCTTCTCTTTCTCTCTCTCCCTCTCTTTTAATGCTCCAAGACACGTCATGCAAAACGAAGAAATGCAAACCCTTGCGAGTGGGTAGGGAGCGTCCGGACAAGTTGCAGGCCGTCGGTCACCATGAAAAAACATAAAGCACAAGAAGGTTTTAGAGCTGGTAAAATAGATCCCGCACAGGAAAACCATAGGGTATCTCCTCCTCCTCCTCTCTTCCCCAGATCCGAGCTTCAGGATCCCGGAGAAGGGGGACCGGGGCGCAGTGATACAGCGATGCCGCAGTGCCGCTTTACAGGCTGCACGCTTCCTCCTCAGCGCAAATAGTGCTGTCTGTCTGTGGACATTTGGCAGGTTCAGAGTTACAAAAAAGACGGTAGAATAAAAATTTACCGGAGATAATGCCAGATAGAGACTGAAAACACATATTTTTCTTTCCTCTGTAGTAAAGTCACAATGCTATCCTTCTTCTGCCATACTTTTTATGGCAGAAATATTATTCAAATAGGAGTCACTTGGGTTCAAATGTGTTGACTTAACTTAAAATAAAGATAACAATACATACTCAGCTGTAACTGTTGTGACAAGGAGGCGAGTTAACCTGAGAAAACTCTACAGATGCGGCAGTAAAAATATGCATTTATTAGCATAATTAACTTGCGCAGACAGAAAATGTGAAATATGAAAGCATCTACAAAGCTAACAAGCTGCACTTAACTGTTGACTGTTTTTAAAGCAGACAACATTAATTGAGCAAAAACAGGCATTTATCATGTGTGGGTGAATCGCATAAAAAAATTCATTTTTTCCATAATTTAATTCCAAGGGTGAAACGTCCATAAATTTCAGAATTATCACACATAAAGTGAAATATTTCAAGACTTTATTTGTTTAAATATTGATGGTTAGGGCTCACAAAAATCAGAATCCACTATCTCAAATCATCAGGATATTACAAAACACCAATCCAAAAAAGGATTTATGATACAGAAATGTCAACCTTCTGGAAAATCTTGTTTATTTATGCTGCCAGTTCTTGTTGGGGGCTCCTTTTGCATGAACTTCTGCATCAATTGTGATGGGCACTAATTTAGCCCACTCACTGAGTTTAGTCAGGGAGTCAGCACAGAGCAGAATCAGGTGTGTGTGTGTGTGTGTGTGTGTGTGTGTGAGAGAGAGAGCCAGATTGCCTCTGGCTGCAGTTGCCTGTGCTGACTCATTACTCTGCTTTCTTTGGTTGAGAGTGGATCGCTCTGTGTGTTTTACATGTCGGAGTGTCAACCATATGTGTCACATGCATATGCTATTTGAGTTCCTCTTAAAAAGTGTTGTGTTTCTTGAAAATGTCCAAGTTGTTTAGTTTTGACAGCTGTTCAGCAGCTGTGGTTAAATTTCCTTGTAATTCTTACAAATAGTAACTTAACAACAGTTATTACATTGAATATTCTTGGGAATAACTTTTAGAACCTTTTTCCCATGTCATGGAGTCCATCAGTCTGTATTGATTCCCAAGATTCTTTGACAGCTTCTTCAGCTCATCTTGACAAAACTCCAGAGATCCTCTATGGGGTTCAGCTCAAGACAATCAAACTCAGTAATACTGTGATTAGCAAACCAGTTTCTGGTAGATTTGGCACTGGTGGCAGGTGCCAGGTCCTGCTGGAAAAGAAAATCTATATTTCCATAAAGCAGAAGGAAGCATGCAGGTCTTAAAAACCTCCTGGTTGACTTTTGGCTGTGTCGACTCTGGACTTGATAAAACGCTAGACTTACAGCTGCTTTTTGCTTTTTGATTTAAATAGTGGGGAAAATCAGAATTTTCTCAGGACATTCTAATGTTTTGAGCTGCAACTGTTTTTACTGTTTCAATTCAGTATGACAGCCTGTATTATTGACATTGCTGGTTAACTTGATGAGACGACATCTCATGGAAAAATAAAGGGAAAGCACAAGACAGCCCCTGTGCAGTACCAAAAACAAATAAGAGAAATTTAAAATACTGAACACAATGTATTAAACCCTGACACGGCTGTGCAAAAAAGGCACAAGAGATGACAGAAAATCTAGATGTGGCGCTGCTGGAGGAACCTCCCTCCATCTGCTGGGAAACTGCACCAAAATGACAAATGATATCTAGTTAACAATAACAAAACAGAACCACATACATTCAGACAATTAAGACCCTTTCTCTGTCACTGGGTATGGTCCAAAAAATTTAATATGAATGACTGGATTAGATTCAGTACACCAGTTTACAGAGAACTGATCACAGGAATAATCAGTTTGGAAAATTCCTTCCTGGCTGAAAAATAATGAGGGAGAAAACCAAGGAACAGGGGCACCACTGGAAACGTACCTGAAATCAGCCAAAAAAAAGCAAGACAGAAAACACCATCATCATTCTGCGGTTGCTTTTGTATTATTTATTTTGTTTCTTGCACTTGTAAGTGATTGTGATTTTCATACTTGTTGTTCTTGCCATAAACAGTAGAAGACCGTCATACCGCTGTTGGCATGGTGGAGAATGGTTGACTGTAAAACTGCTGTTAATTGGAGAGCACTTTTTCATCCTTAGCTTTGTTTGCAGCTTTACATGATTTGTAATTCATGAAAATTCCTTTTTAATCTTCTTAAATTGGTGTCACTGCTGCATTGTAACAATACTGTCCGAATTGAATTATCCAGTGTTTTTCTTTCGAAAATGGCAGATTTTGAAAGAAATAATGCAATATGTTTTGGACCCTGAAAAGACTGTTTAAAGGAGACCTATTACACTGATCTGTGATGTGATTTTATCATTTTTGAACAGTTGTGGAAATGTTTTCTCAAACAGTCCACTTTGATAACTTCACACGTCAGGCTCTGGTGTATTTTAGGTAAATGTTGAAGGACGTGCCCACCAGGCAGCTCGAGTACAGTTCTTTCAAGGACATGACCACAAGGAGGCTTGTTCAATTTCACACTTGCACTGAAAGTCCATTTTAGCTTTTCCTCCACTCTGCACTTCATTTCTTGGAAGGTTCCATAATGCCGTTTTGGGGTTTTCAAGAAAAATCCCAGCTTTTTCTCTTCCTGACGACAAAAGCACCAAAACACAGGAAGAATTTTTCTAAGGTTTTTGAGGCAGCAGCAGCCACAATGTCGCTGTTTGTAGATTTACATCTCAACTGTCATTTAAACCTGGGACTGTTCTACACTAGACCAGCATTTGCGCAGTGGCGTTCGATGAGAGAGTCGCTGTGATGACGCTCTGCTCAAAAAGCATATCCCCCTGATGATCCACTCAATCTTGTACGCCCATAGGCTGTATCAAATATCAATCAGAGAAAACATGAACCCCGAGTAGCACAAACCAGTCTTACAATAACTACATGTCAACATTGCAACCCGGGGGGAGAAACATTTATATTCTGTGTAATAAATTTCTAAAGTTTGTCCACAACTCCATAAGAATTGCTGGAGGAGGCGGAATTTATGACCTATACTGCAGGCCGTCACCAGGGGGGGCTGTTCTTGCAAAGGCTTCACCTGGCAAGGAGGCAGATGACATCCATACTATATATAGTCTATGACTCCACCTATAAAGACCTTAAACTTGCAACCTGTATGTGCCAGACCAGAGCGATCTAAGTAAAGGCCGAATAGTCAAGTTAACAATTATTTATATGGCACATTTAAAGTAATGACCCAAATTGAACCGAAGTGCTGTACAAGCCTACAAACATACTATCAATCACAAATGTAAGTTAAAAGATACTAAAACACACAGAAAAAATAACACAGTAACCAAAGGGATATTAAGAAGGCCAAAAACTGTCATGCTCACCAGCTATTTTAAAAGCCCACGCAAAGAGATGTGATTAAAGTAATAGATAAATAATAATGAAACTGTCAGAGGAATGATCAGTTCTCATATTAAAGGGTAATAATGCTAAAAGTAGGATTTTTTACAGACCCCATTAGTGGCTTCAATTATATAATGTTGAACAGGCCTATCATTTTATCTATCTGACATTTAAAGAAACTGGAGGCCGTTATTTCTACAGTTTCTGATACTTATAACATTTAACTAATCAGACTCTATATTCAATGCACCTGGTATCTATGAGAGTAAATGACAAATGCTGTAACCTCCATGGAAGAAATAATACAATTGTTCCAACATGAAATGACTGTGATTTACTTTGAAGCTATCATGTCGGGTCTGCGTGGAGTGAGGGCTCTGTAGCTGATTTATGAGGACTGCATGATGTGCTGTATTGACATTGCTCTGCCCTTGACAGAGAAACATGATAATGTTCAGAGTGCAGGATACATTAAATACAGGGAGGAAATGTGTGCCGGCTTACATGTTAAAAGGAGCTTAAAGAAATAAGGAGGGAGTTCAGAGGTCGGGACCGGAGTAACAAAACCCAAAGTAAGCCGCTGGCATGTTTGACCTTCTATCTTAAATTTCTTTGTAACTCAGATACTCTTAGTGGAGTTAAAATAACAAAATCGGAAACAAAATCAGGTTTATTGCCAAGTAGGTTTGCACATATATAAGTTTATATTGGTGTTTTGCTGCAAAAACCATAAACACAGAATAAAATAAGTAAAAAAAAATATTGTCCTCATTTCAATAAGAGTGTTGCCTGAATTCATGCCTCTTTCCTTTTCTTGTGGTAACTTTGCCATACAGATCAGCTTTCTTTAAGTATACCAACAGTATAAGTTTGTAAATGATAAGAAATATATGTATTTGACAGTATAAATTGGACTTTTCTGTGGTGCATTTTCCCTTTATTCCTCATGCTTCATGAGTTGGGTTATTATCTAGAGGAATCTCAGGGATGATTGGTGATCAAAGTAATCGTGTCATCGATAATCATGTAGCTGTGCCATCCATGGAGGGTTTTTTTTATCTTCAGTACAGAGCAGATGCCTTGTAGGGGATGTCACTCCAGCATGACACTAACTCGTATTGATTTTTTAGTCCATTAAAGCCCATGGGATGAGAATTAATAAGAGTGTGAACATCACACTGTGGCTCTGGCTGCAGAGGTTTTAATGAAGATCATATGAATCAGTTAGTGAAAAAAGGCACTTAAAAGCCTGTTGAGTTTGTCTGAGCTTGTTTCATTTGATCAAAAGTCAAAGACGGGGAGGGAAAGGATGTTGTCATGAACAGAAGTCGACGTTTGTTTTAGTGAGGCGATGTACCGGTCCTCTTTGAAGACGGAACCATGGGTGGGCTGGTGTATTTTTAGCCTGGTTTAATGATGCAGAGGCTGAGTGGTGCACCTCAAAGGCTCGCTAAAGTGCTCCAATCCCCAGCGCCTGGTGAAACAGGGGCCCTGGAGGTCTGTAAGAATAATACCAGGGGATTCACATGCACTTGACCCTGTCTCATCTTCCAAGAAGAGTGTCCTTGTGACAAAGTGGCAGGGCAGAGGAGAAACGACAGCGTGAGGCAGTTAATGCGGCTCACCCGGCCTCCACTCATTAGAAGGGGAAGACAAATGTGCTGCCCTACCCCTCCTCTCTCTTTGCCATAATCAGCCGTAATTACACCTTCACCCTAACTTTCTCTACCTTCACAGCTCCATTCTCTGTCAATCCTCACTCCAGCTCTGGCTCTCTCTTTTTTCTATTTGATCAAATAGAAAAAAAGACTGTTATTTCTGCATCAGGAACAACCTTTGGTTTGAAATGTAGCTTTTGGCTATAACTGACTGTTTATTTCTGCATCAGTCTCCTCCACACTTAGAGTGCTTTTACCCTACAGGTCACAATGGCGCTTTCACACCCACACTTCCACGTCAACTGTCAGGCCAATCACAATGACTGAATCTATAGTTTCAATAATACATGCACAAAATTCCTGAAAAATCCCAGATGGTCTTTCCTCAACTTCATCCACATGTTTTCAGGTTTACCTCCCGGTCAGATTTCTGCAAGAAGTAAACATGAGAAGACAGATGGTTTCAGTCTAAGTTTAAGATGATGCACTGAAAACACACCACACATGAGTACATTGTGTATTTGTTGGGTACTTTTCAGACAAATATGTGGAGGGTGAATACCTGAATCATAATAGTGGTCAAATAACTGACAAACACTGATGTTATATTTTCTTCAAACACATGGTATTGATGGGGATTCATGACAAAAAAAAAAAAAAATGCCGGCCACAAAAAGCAGTATGCCATGACATTTTTGTTTAACTTTTCTAGCTTAGAAAAAATGTGCATGACAGGTTCAATCTAAGTTAAAGCTACCTGGTTTGGCATGTTGTTTGTTTTCCTTTTAATTAAGAATCTCTTGATTGAACAACCAATAAATCCAAATCCTATGTAGGAATAAGAAACTTACCTTGAAGTCTAGAAAATTGGGCTGAGTGGATGGGGATGCCAAACAGATACTGATAACTACTTTGTGTAATACTTAGATCATGATTATTCATCATTATTATTTATCAATTTTAAGGACATTTATTACTAGATTATAGTAGATTATTAGACTAGATTATATATTTATTAGATTATATACTCCACGTCTAACTTATTCCCAGGGCTGAACTGGTCCTAAAGATCTGCTCTGATATTGTTGTTCCACACTGACTCTATATATTTAGTCAAATTAAGCATCAAACAGCTTAAAGGCTTTGGTTTCATAAACCTCTATCTGAAATTAAGTCAGACACACAACCTTTATGTCTTGAGAAATCATTTCAAAGTGTGGTATAAAAGAGCAAAAACACTCTGTAAACAATGTCTTACAGCAATACAGTTTAAACTGCACATTTAGAAGTTAAACACAACTGTAATTGTTTTTTAATGAGTTACTTTTTTTTACCCTTTCAGCTTTCATCTTTAAAACAGAAAGACAGAGACCAGTTTAGTCCCTTTATTTTATCATGATAAGGACATATAGGTCACTCACTATTCAGCCACACAATCATTAGCTTGTTGTTGCTCATTATTGCTCTGGCTCACTCTCTCCCTCTACTTCACTAACACACACCTGATTGTCTTGTTTTTACCTGCTTTGCTGCAGCACTTTATCTGCACTCTTGGTTTTGATTGTTAATCCAGGTTCTTTCATTAACAAGTCCTGCCATCCACCATTTTTCTACTTTTGTGGATGAACCATTGGAGAAACTTATAAAAATACAACTATGTTGTCTAGATGATGAATTAAAAAAAGACTCTTCAATATGTTGGCTGCACAAGCAAAGACTGACCGGCCACCCTCCTGATTGACAGATCAACTACACTACCACTAAGCCCTATCTGCCCATAAATAATCAGTCATGATGACAATTGGACCATTAATTCATAATCAGTACCAAAGGCAGTGCTGGCTCAAACCTCAATGGGACCCTAAGCAAAATTAGGTTTTTGGGTTAATGACTTTTTTTTTTACTGGCTGACCGGCAACAACTACCGAACAACTACCCGGTAGGTACTGAGCGCACCCCCCCACCCCCCACTGTGATCATTGTGGGCCCCCAAGTCACTGTGGGGCCGTATGTGGTCCCTCAGTTCACTTATGCCTTGGGCTGGCATTGGCCAAAGGCCAGCAGGTCTCCATGCATACTGGTATTGAGGATTCAGCCTGGTTTTTAAGTATTCTGCTTCATTCCACTCATCATTTTTAGAAATCCTAATCCAGGTTTTGAGGCTTGCAAGTGTAATGGACTTAAACTTAGTGTTGTCTACTCTTTAAACACAAAACAAGTCTCTATAAATAAAACATAAAAATAAAAAAAGAAACAACAGAAAAGTTGGTGTCTACAGCAAAAAGCTCCAGTTTGCAGTCTGAGTCACATTGTCAAACTGGTTTCAGTTATATTTGCTTCTTCACAGAAAAGGAGAGCTGGATGAATCCACTGAAATGCAGATCTGGAGGCCATCAACTCACATCTGACAATGATTTGGCATCATTCATCTCCATGAAAAGACATTTACATAAAAACGCAAAAAAAACAACCCTGTTTGAGGCACCATAGCGTTTCAAGTTGATGGTTGGCAATGACAAGCACACAGAAAAGGAGCTCTTGGCCTGAATTTACATAACCTCTCATTGGGAAAAAGCCTAAATCCGATTCTAAGATCTGTAAACCTTTTTTCTAAGAACAGAAAAGAGATGTTGAAACTCAGGCAAAACTAAATTCCAGCAATAAGGAGCTTTAATTCTGTCATGATCATGATTATAATCACATTTCTCATGTAAAAAGAGCGAGCAGCTATTAAACAGCAAGACAGCATATTTCCTAGAAAGAGATTCCAGTGTGTTCAAAATCTATCTCCAATTCTCCCAGAAGACAACAAATCCCACCAGTGTCTGCTGGATTTTTAATGGTGCAGGTATTTTCAACATACCGTGCAAGCCTGAAAAGAGCTCGTAATAGGATGAAGCCCCTGGGAGAAGTCAAATGCAGGCCAAACTGTCTGCAACTGGTGTAGAATCAAAACGCCTCTTTACTGATGAAGCATTTCTGTGTAATCACAGAGTCAAAAAGGACACACTCCAGCCAGTGTTGAACTGAGACAGCAGACAAGCACAATAAGACAATCAGATTGACAAAAACATCTCCATACATTAACATCCTGCTGCCACAAATGATCATTTAACATGATCTTATTTGTGCTCTGCATTATCATCATAATTATTATCTCACTTTGTCAGGAGGGAGACGGGAGTGGGATATAATGATACTTTGTAGCTATAAGTACCCAGCAATTCAGCTCGCATTATGCTCAAAGAGATTCTCAGTACAAGAAGGCGCTCATTTCCCTCCCCTACAGGTCTGCCTACAAGCCTTATAACAGCCCTTATTACTCACTTTCTGGGTGCAGAACAATAGTCCTTATTTGATTCCCCTCTGGAGCTGCACTGTTACATAAAGTGCTATCCAGGACTTTGACATTGTTATTCATTCTCTTGACTAACAAGATTTACTGATGCTTTTCATCAAAGGTGTTGTGAGGACTTCAATAAATGTTGTGAATGTGTGGGAGGTTTCATATTCATCAAAGGGTAAATGCCCTGAAAGTGCACGTTAATGCATCACAAATACCTTTCATATTCTCAGCTAAACTGTGGTGAGAGACCGAATATTCAAGAGCTGACATGAATTATGAAGTGTGTCAACCACAGACCGTAACAAAGCTGTGAACATGGCCACTGTGAGGTCAGCCAGTTGATTTTGAACCCTTATCCTTAATCATTGAATTAATCCATGTGACCCTATAGTGTAGTTCTGGTACTGGAGGGGACCACATTTGGATGGCAAGTGCAACACTTATTTGAGCTGGGCATTTTGACTATGACTGTTAGCAGCATCAGATACCCTGGTCTTGAAGGCGCCTGAGGTGTGGGTGAATGAGGTAACAGACAAAGATATAGGTTTTGTGTTTTTTATTTAAATCATAACAAAAAATTTAACAGGATGAACAACTAACAAAACAAAACAAATATTGCAGATGAATGGTGTTTGAGACTGGGTCCAGGAACTGTTGGGAGGCTAAATCATTTCACACAGGGAAACAATGATTGTAAATGGTTCCAAACCCTTGTCGGGAAAAAAAAAAAAAACACCATAAATCCAAAATCTGTTTGCTCATGAGTGATAGCAGGAACTCCAACAGATGATTTTGTCCTATCACACTTTCTAGTTGTAGCTCGCCATCTAGTTGAGTTGATTGTTGCGTTGGCAGTTGAATTGATTGTTGAGATGAGGGTGGAGTTGATAGTTGAGATAAAACGTCCAATACAAAAACCTGACCTTAATTATCTTGGGTTTTGCTCCCTCCTCCATTCACCGGCCGACAGCAAACATGGCTGAAAGCTCAAAGATTGAAGTTTTAACCCACTAAACAATGATTAAAGCTTTGTGTTAGAGATGCCAACAACCATGCTTCAGCCACAGCAGAGAAGCAAAAGCGAAGTGAACTGTTAAGCTCCCTAACTTAAAGGGATATTCCAGTGTAAAATTAATTTAGGGTCAAACACACCATAACACCGAGTCAGACACTCCCTCGAGAGATGAATGTTGCCGACTGCTTGCTTCTCTAATTATACCAACTTTAGTAACAACCGCATGATAGCATTACACAGCGGTCTAAAGAGCCATACACAAACCTCAACCAAAACGGCACTCTATAGTCACAAATAATGCTCAGAACAGCACCTAACTTCATGAACAGTACATATAGGGTCCCAGCCGTAGTACTAGCCACCAAACATATTTTTAACTTTGCCGAATTTCTTTAGCAATTAGACTAAACACAACTCACTTACTCTCTTCCAGCAGCCGCTTGCTTGTAGTGAGACTTCAGGCCAGTCCTTAATGGACTGTAGCGAGGTGACAGAACATTTATCATCGTTTCTTCATGGAATTGCAATCAGACAGAGATGCTAAAGCAGAAGAACTACCACATCTGCAGTGCAAAATGATTAATATGGTGATTATTACTTAAAGGAAATGATAAAATAATGATCATAAATATTCTTCCTTGAGCTGCGTCACTCCGTAGCAGTCATCTGAGGTCTCTGTACAAACAAGTGGTTGCTGGAAGAGAGTAAGTGAGTTAGTTTAGTCTCTTTGCTAAAGAAACCAGGCAAAGTTAAAAAGATAACTGGCTAGTGGCTAGTACCATGGCTTGGACCCTATATGTACTGTTGATGAATTTAGGTGCTGTTCTGAGCATTATTTGTGGCTATAGAGTGGCTTTTTGGTTGTGGTTTGTGTGTGGCTCCGTAGACCGCTGTGTTTTGCTGTTGTGCAGCCATTACTAAATTTGGTATAACTAGAGAAGCAAGCAGTTGGCAACATTCATCTCTTGAGGGGGTGTCTAACGGTGTTACTGTGTGTTGACCCTAAATTAATTCTATGCCGGAATATCCCTTTGAAGGAAGTGGGGGAGTTGGGGCAACAACAGAAAGTTGCCCCACTGCTGTAAAAGCTTCAATTGTGGGTTACACAGGGTACATAGTAAGAATTGTTTTGCTTTCATTCTGGTTTGTGGAAAACAGGTAGCCTGTCTTTGAAACCAACCCTGCTTTACTTCAGTTAAGTCTGTATGAGATCAGCCTTTAAGTATAAAATGGCTTGAGTTTGAGATGATGTACTTGAATGCTAACCAAGGCCAATATTTTCTACCTGCGACCACGATACAGGGACACATAAAAAGTTAAAATTTTCAGCCATGAGAATAAAGTTGTAGTAAGGTTATTTTACAAGAATTAAGCTGTAAGTAAATAACATTATAATGTTACAAAATTCATGGCAGATTGTTCAAAAAATAAAGTCATAGTAAAGTCGTCATGCTATGAGAATCAAGTGTTGATAAAGTTGTACACTTGTTTTATGGTAAGCAGCCAGCTGTCTGTATTACAATGGGGAACATGGAGCATGGTGTTAAATTGTCTTGTTATGTTGTTGTTCAAGGCTCATTGCCATTGCCACAGCGGTCGCTGTTTTCAGTCCCAGCCTCGTCCCTTTGCTGCGTGCTCTATTCCGCTCTCTCCTCCCAACATTTCCTGTCTCTCATCAGCTGCCCTGTCCAATAAAAGGCAAAAATGACAAAAAGATAACTTAAAAAAATGACTCAGGACTAGATAATGTGGTCAGGGATCATTTTTCTCTTCCATGTATATTCTTAAATCAATCAGAAACTGGCCCAAGTGTGCTGCACATGCTTTGACTCAGGAATTGAATGTGTTGCAGGAAACTGAATTGACTACCAAGTTGAACAGAAAAAGGGATGTAAAAACAAAAACAAAGCTAACACATTGTACGTACCAAAGGTACAGAACTGTAAAGTTGTCTGTGTTTTCATCTATCAACATGCAACCTTTTATGTTCTTGCTATTGTGTTTGGTGATTGCTTTTGGTAGGTGGGGTGATAGGTCAACCAGAAGATGGACACAAAAGCTAAAAGGTAGCATATTACTGTGAAATTAAGCGAAGGTGGACATACGTTTGTCAAGTGCTCATAAACTTGGACAAAAACAGTAGTTGAGTTACATATCATATAACAAAGTTATAACCATAGACTGTACATGGAATGTACGCCGTCTGCCTTCTTGCTGGGAAAAGGCACTGAGAGAACAGCACCCTCCGGTGACAGGCTGCAGTATAGGTCATAAATCCCGCCTCCTCCAGCAATCCCTATGGAGCTGTGGACAAACTTTAGAAATTTATTACACAGAATATGTTTCTCCCCCCTGGTTGCAATGTTGACATGTAGTTATTTTAAGACTGGTTTGTGTTCAAGTCCTCCTTTTTTGTGTTTTTTTGATTGACACTTGATACAGCCTATGGGCGTACGAAGATTGTCTAGCTCACCTGGGGGATACGCTGTTTGAGCTGAGCGTCATCACAGCGACTCTCTCGCCGAATGGGTACAATGGGTACTGCGCAAGTGGTGGTTCCAGGAAGTGGAGAAAATTCCAGAAATACCGAGAGCAATTCGGTGTCAAAATTGTATACAGACGGAAGGTGGAACCAAGTTGTCCTTAGTATATAGTCTATGGTTATAACTATAGCCTGACTTAGTATGTAAATGGGACAGCGTTATTTAATTTAATGTGATCAGCAGGATAAAAATGATCCTACAAATGATCACCTTGTCAATCATTAGCATAGCAATGTTTTAACTTTACTGTTAAATGATGTTCTTTAATGTTTGTCTATGCTGTAAGGAAGCTTAGATAACAGTGGTTACCAGTGCATATTCCTTTTCTGTCCAGTCTGCTCTGGTAATTCCTTAAAAAGCCCAACCAACATCTGAGAAAAAGTCTTCAGAAAACAACCAAATTTATTAAACAGGAGGTACCCAGATATATGCATGATTCACAGCCATTCTTGAGTATTAGCGCCTTGAAATGTTCTTTTGTAGAATAACTACTTGAACAGTGATCTCCTCTGTAAACTTAACTAACATTGTCTACAGCCTTTTCTTTTTATATTTTTATTTGTTAAGTAGAAACCAAGAGAATTTCTTCCTCCCTCAAAAGGTACCTGTCAGAAGTGAGGGAATTAAGTGCTTTTTGAACCTTTTTGAAGAGCACAATTACAATACCTTATAAGACTCTTAAAAAATGAGCCACCCTTACTTTTAGAAACATGACAAGTCAGAGTATCTGCTTTGAAAAGCGCCCATTGAGAACACAAACAAATATGTACCAGTTAGCTCTCAGAGGCTCTTTTCAGTCTCAGAATAAACAGCAGTGAAAGACTAATGCATTCTGCTGAGCGGCTGAATTGTTGGGTTTAAAAACAGGCCAGGGTTTGATGTCAGTTGTTCTGAATGTGTCTTTATGAACTCCCTCTCATTTGAAATGCCAAGGATGACCTTTCAGTGTGTGTTCCCACTCTAAGAGGAGATCATTTCCTCCTGTATTCTTTATGTGAGTAGATAGAGCTGATGCTCTTAAGCTGTTATTCTTTTTTTTCTTGCTTCACGGCTTTGAGAAGTACTGTAATTTTCCATATCTGTCATCTGTGCAAATAGACCAAAATTGCTTCCAAATATACTCTCAGGGAAAAGATAAAAAAAGGAGCTGGGTTCAGAAAATAACTCAAAGCCAACGTGCTGCTATGTTTACCTATACCGAAGCCTTGTGGAGCCAAAATAAAACCCTGCAGCTTGCTAAGTTCCTGAAATGACAAGCAGGAATATTGAACGTGATAGCTGACCTACTAAAGCAACATCAGATTTTAAACTAACAATGCTGTCAGATATGTGTGCGCTGCAAACAAAACACAGTCGTCTTTGAACAGCACATCTACAGCTCAATTACAGAAACATTCAGCTCTGACTAATTCATGAGACGACAAGTTCAACATGGAGTTCAGCCACTTGAGATGAAAGAGAATGATTTCAGCTCGCTTTGCTCGTGTTAAACACGGCCGAGGCCTGATGGAGGCATGTGGTTTCAATTCCAACATAATGAAGTCATGCAGGGTCTTCAGAGGGACGGCGAGGTTGGGGAATGTGTTCCAGTATTCCTGCTATTACAATGTCAAAGTCATGAATAATGAAGGTTTCAAATTAAAGCAGAAATTTGGCTCTTGGACTGCCTGGTGTGTAAATTATTCTTTGGATATAGTTCACTCGTGCTGCCAGTTCTTATTTCTCAAGTCTGCACTGCAAATATGAACAAGATGCTCATTTTTTTTCTTTTTATCATCAACAGCAAGAAGATTTTAGATCACTTCTGTCTTCTCTTTGTAAAAAATCCATATGTTGAGGCAGCAAATGAATGGTGGAGATTTGGAAAGACAATTACAATAAAGAAAAACGCATAAGATAATCTGAGCAGAGTCAAATCTATTGAAGAACAGATTCAGCTCGTTGGCCCACTCCCTGTCTCCTGCTTCAGGTCCCCTCTCATGGACCCTGCTAATTTGTTTACAACAAAAGTAGAGTGACCTGAGATGGATTTCAGGCCTCTCCAGACCTCCCTTGCATTGTTCTGTTGCAGAAGGTTTTCCATCTTGGTCTTGTAGCTGGCCTTTCCCTCTCTGATCTTCTTCAGCTCCTTCTGCACCCTCCTCAGCTCCCCCTTGTCCCCAGATTTAAAGACCCTCCTCTTCTCCTTCAGGAGGACTTCAAGTTCCGGGGTCACCCAAGGTTTGCTGTTGGAGAAACACTGTACTTTCCTGGTGGGTACGGTGTTCTCAACACAGATTTTTTTATTTCAGTGGTTGTATTCTTTACTGCAGTCACAATGGAAATGTTAACATCTCTGTTGATTTAACTGCATTAACAGTTCGCAGTTATGAGAAATGTAGAATGACCCTTTAGTTTCTGTATATTTCTGCAAGAACTTGAGAGTGCACCTGATGGAGAGCTTGGGCTGAGGTAAGCAGGTGTGTGATGAGATAATGATAAGGGTGTCCTCTTCTTCTGGCATTCATTCAGTATTATGGTGCATGGACACATGGGGAAAAAAATAACATTTCTGGTCTCACTGTCTGAATGAACACTAAAATACTCTGTATAATAAAAAGGCCTGTAAAGTTGAAGTCCTGTAAATCATATGTTTTATCTTTATTGTCACAATCATTATTACCTTCAGTAAAATGTCTCAGAGGGTTATCTTAGTACCAAGGTGTCTCACCACTGAATAATACCAGAGGCACTACAGGAGCCAGACC